TACCTTCAGGGAAAGATGGGCAGGAAGTAAGAGAGGTGAAATGAGGAGTGAGTAATCTGTGTTTTCCCCCAGTGAATGAAATCTCCATAGGGAAAGGAGGCGTGTGTGTGTGTGTGTGTGTGTGTGTGTGTGTGTGTGTATGTAGGGGCGGGGGGTGCGGGGCGGGGAGGGCGCTTTCTGGAAGGAGAAGCAGTGTGGGCACAAGTTCAGAGGTGGGGATGTGAGGGGAAGGATGAATGAGTAACCCAGAGCCTGGGCAAGGCAGGGGGACGTCTGGGCATGTACGAGGGCATCTGCGTGGCCACCCGGGGAGGGGGTGGCCCGCTTGGTAGGCAGCCAGAGGAGTAGAAGCCTTAATTAGGCAGGACCCGTGATTAGGTTGCTCAAGATGACAGCCAAGCAGGGGCCGAAGGGAACCAGGGAGGGGCAGATGTCAAAGGCAGGGCAGCTGCTGGAAAGCCAGGAAGGCGTCCCTGTGAGACCATCTGAAAGCAGCATCCTTGAGCTCGACCCCGGCGGGCCAAGAAGCAGGTCTTTGCAAATCCACTACAAATCGTTGTGAAACACGCATTAGCCACATACTGGGGTGAATCCCGTGCCCCTGAAATTCATTTCTACCGGGAACCTCAGAATGTGACCTAATTCAGCAATAAGGTCTTTGCAGATGTAATTATTTCAGGGTACAACGAGGTCATACTGGATTAGGGTGGGCCTTTAATTCAATCTCACTGGTGCCCTTCTTGGGAAAGAAGAGCCAGAGACAGAAGCATCCAGGGAGAAGGCCATGACACGACAGAGGCAGGGATGGAGGGGGGGATGCAGCCACCAGCCAAGAGACATCGAGCACCCCCAGCACAGACTGGAAGCTGGGAACACCTTCAGAGGGAGCAAAGCGCTGCGGACACCTTGCTTTTTGACTCCGGGGCCTCCAGAACTAGGGGCTAATGCCTTTCTATTGTTTGAAGCCACCCAGTTTGTAGTGATTCATTAGAGCAGCCCTGATAAACTATTACATACCAGGAGGAAGGAGAAACTTATTTTCTTTCTTTCTTTCTTTCTTTCTTTCTTTCTTTCTTTCTTTCTTTCTTTCTTTCTTTCTTTCTTTCTTCTTTCTTTCTTTCTTTCTTTTCTTTCTTTCTTCTTTCCTTTTTTTTTTGAGAAACTTATTTTCTATGGGCCCAAAGTTATATACATTTTCACTTATGTTTGAAGGAAAGGATCATTATTATGTGCCCTGAGCACAGGCTAACATCCAGCCTCCTTAGAATTGCTCCTTTGTACCTCCTGCCCATACACCCACCCCCCATTGCTCCCAGCTGGATATCACAGGGCAGGCATGCTCTCATGGGAGGATTTACAGAGGTGCATGCACGGAGGTCCTCCGACATGGACTCCTAAAGCAAGCAGAAAGATCCCTCCCTGTCCTGACAAAGTCCAAGGGAGGCTGCCCAAAGTATGGAGAATTTGGAAATCTGTCTTTGAGTCCACTCACTTACTCCACCAATATTTTACTGGGTTTCTGTATGAATCAGGTACACTGCAATATGCCAGGGAAGGTGGGCTGGGATGCTGACTGTGATGATGATGATGATGATGGCCGCTAACACTTTATCAAGAGCTTCTTACATGCCACGCAGTGTTCTAGGCACTTTACATGTGTTTGCTCATATATTTCTCACAGCGACCCTAGGAGAGGTAACTCGTGTGTGTGTGTGTGTGTGTGTGTGTGTTTATGATGATGATGCTGAGGCAGGAAATCCAAGCATTTGGCCTTGGATGTAGAGACAGTGAGGTGGGCAGGGGAGGGAAGGCAATTGTTTTTCCTAACAAGCTTGGCAAAATTTTTCGGCCAGGATCTTTATAAATTAAACACTGAAAAGCCAAAGGAAGTGGACATACGGAGGTGGAGAGGTGTGTATAGACACCTATTTAGAGTAGTTTGGTGGAGAGAAGTGGGGAGACTAATAGGTAAACAGTAACCAGAGGGCAGTTGGGATGATAGGAGGGGTCGTGAATTGCAGTGAACGTGTACTTGTTCATTAGAATGATCCAGAAGGGAGGGAAATGTGGATTCTGGAGGATGGAGAGGGGGGTTCCAGGATGGAGCTGGGAGATGCTGGCTTTTCAGGGACATTTTCTCATCTTATCAGGAAGAAAATATGGGACATATTTAGCCTCAGGCTTCTAAATTGTGGTGGGAAGTTCTGACATCCTCTCCCTTCCATTTCTTCCAGGTGCATGTGGAAGAGACATGTGCCGAGAGCCGGGGTGACCCAAGCTCTTCAGTGTTGGAAGCAGGTGTTCTCCTGAACTCCGGTTCTCTCCTGGGCCTCTCTCATCCCTGAATCCCCATGAATTCAAAGCAAGAAGGTTGGGAATAGATAAGCCCTATGGTCCTCCTGGTCAGGATGGTCTATGATCAAATTTAAGGTGTTACTACATAGAACTTTCCAGAGGACATGAGTCCAGAAACTCCAGTCTCATCCCGTGGTGGATTTGCAGCACATACGCATTTACTAAGCAAATCGAATTCTATTGCTGACCAGCGAGAAAGAGAAATAATTTAAACAGCTCAATTCAATTGCATCCACATTTGGCTCCAAGCGCTTCTGCTGCCTCAGCTGGGCTGGGCTGGGGGTGTGGGGGTGTGGTGGGCGGCTCTTAGCAGCTAGGGTCGCTCCTGAGGCTGAGCATCTCCTACTCCCGCGTGCAACTCGAGTTGTACCACCGTCAGTTGGTCCTCTAGTGGGGCCACCTTGAGGACATGAAAATGGTCTCATCAGGTGCTCAGTGGAAGAAACAACACGGTGAAACACGAGGGGAAACTGGCTGTGTTGCACCTAGGGGAGACGAGGTGTGGGATCTGTGGCACCTTCCGTAGATCGCCTCCAAGTGGATTTGGACTCTGCAACCAGCACCTTTCAATCTGGTTTTGGAACTCTGTTGCTCTCTGAAATTCTACTCCTCTGCAATTCCAATTCTTCTCTTTCTCCTCTATGAATCTGGCACCTTCCCTCCCCTGGGCCTGAATTCATTCTCTGCTCACTGTCTTCTGGAAAGTTGAGGTTCCCACAGAGCAAGGTTGGGGCCAGCGGGCTGCAGGCCTGGGCTGCTCTGAGTGTTTTGCCCCCAAAGACTTCCTCAAAGGGGGTGGAAATGGCCTCTCTTGGCAAAATGCCCTTCTTCGACCCACATACTAGCGTTTTAATTTGTCGTTGAAGGAAAGGGTAGGCAGCTTCCTCCATAGCTTTGAATTTGACTCTATATCTTTGGCAGGTAACAAACCATAGGTGCTCAATAAATGCTTGTTGAAAGCCAAGGCAGAGGAGGAAAGGGAAAAAAGATTTATGGGAGTGGGTAAAAGACTACTGGATCCGGGAGGGTGTTCAAAGAGCAGGGTGGCTCTAGGGGAGGCAAAGTTTTGGTTCATGACCTTAACCCTAGTGTCTAGGAGAGTGCCTGGACCTAGTGGGTGCTTGATCTAGGTGTGGAACTAACGACCCCAGTATGGACTTCTCGTGTGGTTGGGGAAACAGAGACTCGGTCTCCTCCTATGCCGAGCTCCTGAGGGGGAGGACTTTGCCTCCTCAGTCCTTTTCCCAGTGGCTGAGCACAGAGGCTGGCTCATCGCAGTGGCTCAATAAATATTTGTGGAATGACAGGATAAGTAAATGTCAGGGCCTATGGAGGCAAAAGGGATGCAGGGAGCCAGGTCCCTTGCCTTGAGTGGAGCATGGGCCTGTGGAGGGAACAGGTTTATCATCAGCCAGAAGAGGGGGGGGGAAGGGCACGGGATCCTGCCAGGACAAATCCCGGCAGGGGCCTGGGGACAGTGACAGGGTCTTCCTTTACTTATAAAATGATGCTCCTCTAGTGCAGTGGTTCTCACCTGGCCACACGTCACAACCACCTGTGGAGCTTTTAAAACACCCCAATCCCTTGTCTGCCTTCCCCGAGGTTCTGATAAAACTGGCCTAGGATGGAGCCCTGATATGCACCTTTTCTCTTCCTTTTTTTTTTCTCTTTTTCTTCTTCTTTTTTTTAAGTTCCTCTGGGGATTCTAATACGCAGTGTGGGTTGAGAACACGGAGGCAATCTTTAAAACAAAAACAAGGCAGCAGCGGAGCAGGATAGCTGAGGGTGGGAAGGGTGCTGGGGACAAGTTCTGGGAAGCAGGAGAGGAAGGGGGTGAGGATCCTCCCAGCCGGGGGCTCCCTCCCGGGGGAGGGGAGCCAGGCCGCTGGGAGGGAAAGGAGGGAAGGAGGCCCCCCCCCCCCCGGACTGGTGGTGGGCTTAGGACCGGGTGCCCAGAAGATCCGTGGGGTGAACAAGATGGACGAGATTCCCGGGGAAGGAGGGTTTCAGCGGAGAGATGATGCAACAAGGAAGGGGCACGGAGTGAGCATCTCCGGGAGAAGGGGGGCTGCTGGGTGGGCGGTGGGCGGTGGGGGGGGACCCAAGGACCCCGGGCAGGCAGTTCAGTGGGGCTGGGGGTGGGGAGCTCAGGTCTCCAGACTTGGAGGAAGTGCGGAGTCGCCCCCAAGGGATGTCAGGGCGTGGCGCGGTGGCCCTCGAGAAACTCCGCGGCCCGGAGATGTCATCGGGCCCCACGGAGACACGTGCACGGGCGCGAGCACACGGACGCACCCCGGGGGTGGGGTGGGGGGCACCCGCGCCCACCGCGGCCCCGGCCTTCCGGGCGACGGAGGAGGGGGAGGGCGGAGGGCGGAGGGCGGAGGGCGGAGGGAGCCCCGGCCCTCAGGCCCCTCCCCGCCGCGCCCCTGCAGAGGCTTGCGCAACAGGCGGCGGCCCCGGCGGGCGCCCTCCGCGCTCTGCCCCGGCCGGGCGGGCGGAGGGCGGGGAGGGGGAGCGGGAGCGGGAGCGGGAGGGGTGTGTCCCCGCGGTGTGCGGGCGCCGGGGGGCGGGGCGGGGCGGGGCCGGCGCGGGGGCGGGGCCGCGGCGCCTATAAAGCCGCCGGCCGCCGGGGCATAAACAAACCTCGCCTGGCCCCGCGCCGCCGCCTCGGAGCGCGCCCCGCCTCGCCCGCAGCCCGGCTCCGGCCCCGCTCGCGCGTCCTCCCGGCACCTTCGGTAAGCGCGGCCCCGCCGGGCCGCCGGGCAGGGAGGAGTCGATCTCCACCGCCCGTGGGTGCTGCTGCAGCCTCTGGACCGCCCTTTGTGGCCCTCGGAGCTGCAAGTGCGGGGCGACCCTGCGGCGGGGGCGAGGAGGGGCTTTGGGGCGCGGCCGGAGTGGAGAGGGCGGGGGACGGGGGCTCAAGCGGAGGAAGCGCAGGTCCCCGCTCACCTTTCCGCAGCCGGGAAAGTGGGATCCGGGGAGAGGGGTGCAGAGCCGGCGGGGGAACACCTCCAGACACACCCCTGGAGTCACAGCTGGCGCCTGGGGCCCGAGAGCGCCTGGAAGCGGGAGCCGCGGGGAGGGCCAGGGAGAGCGCGCGTGTGTGTGTGTGTGTGTGTGTGTGCGCGTGTGTGTGTGCACGCGCGTGTCGGGGTCGGGTGTATCCCCGGGGGCGCGGGGTGTGTGGGGAAGGCGGGCGTGAGCGCGCGTGTGTAGAAAGGAGGTGGGCAGGAGAGCGCGGCGAGCTGAGGCTGGAGAAAGGCGCGTGGGTGTGTCCGCTTCCCACCCCCAGCGATATGCATCTCAGGGGCGGGGGCCGCCTCAGCCTGGAAGCCGGGGTGGGGTGTGTGTGTGTGTGTGTGTGTGTGTAAGGGGGAGGGTCCCCGCGCGCGTGCCATCCGCGCGCGCCCCTGCGCAGGGTGCGCCCCCCGAGTGGCCCGGTCCCCAGGGGTCGCGCGGGCAAGTGCGGGCCCAGCGCTGGCCCCCGCCGCGAGTGGCGTCATTCTGGCCTCCGCCCACCTCCCCCGCTCGCCGGTCTCCCTGCCTCCGGGGCCCGCCTCTCCTGCCCTCCCGGGGGAACAGCAGCTGGAATTGCTGCGCCCTGCCCGGGCCCTCCGCCGTCTCCGATTCAGCCCCCGGGCGGCGGGGTGGGGAGTGGAGGGCCGCGGTGGGGAGGGGGGGACGCGCGGGCACCAACGCTGTCACTTTACGGGCTGAAGCTGGGATTTAGTGGATCTGCGCCTTAACCGCCCCCTCCCCGCCCCCCAGCCACTCTCCCGTCTGTCGCCTCTGCTGTCAGATGTCCCTGTGGGTCAGGGGCAGCACCGGGGCTGCGGCTGGGCGGGGGAGGTGCCTGGCAGCCAGTGTGTGTGTGTGGGGGAATCTGGTTAGGGGACGTTCAGGCTCAGGTCTTCTTCACCCTTGGGCCGGGACTTCAGTTTCTTTGCTTCCTTTAAGTTACTGGGAAAAGGTTGAAGACGGGAAGCCAGTGCAGCCCCTGGCGGCACAGGGGAGCCCTAGTCTCTTCCTAATGTCCACTGGCCGAGCTTCCCGTTCTCAGCCACCTCAAATGAACCAAATATTGAAATGTAAACGGTGCTCCTGCTGTGAAAATGCGATTTGAAAGCAACCCCACCAGCCCTGCCTGCTGTACCGAAATTCTGAGTCTTTACTGACTTTGGCAAATGTGAATTGAAATAAGCAAGGTGCAGAGAGTGCAAACCCCAGCCTCTGCCTTTGGGGGTTCACCAGCAAAGGGATGAAATGCAGGCGAAGGTGGTGAGTGCTGGTGTGGGGCTCAGGGTGAGGGCCGAGGGGTGGGGGATAGGGGATGTAGTGATGATGGGGAACAGTGCCCTGGTGTAAGCCGTAAGCCGTGAAACCCAGGGTGTCCCCTGACCTGTGACCTCTTAGTTTTGTGGGATCTTGTCCCCCACAAGAGGGTGAGAAGGAAGGCTTTGCTTGCCTCACCCAGTTACGTGGTACCTGGCCCAGGGCCTGACACTTGAGAGGAGTTAAACACATGCATTGAATGAATGGAAATGGAAAGGCTCCTTCCCTCTGCCCCCATTACCCTATAATCTCTTGAGTGGAGTTGACCATTGGGGCGGTGTGTTTGATTTGGGTTTCCAGGGAGACCTCCCAGCACCTTTTGTGGGGTCTTCTCTCCCCATAGGGGGATCTCCTGGAGCAGCAAGCAAATCCAGGATTATTAGCAATTGATCTGATCACTTGGAATAGAATTAAAAACTCACAGAAGTTCTGAATGTACCTTCTTCCCCATTTTACAGATGGAAACTGAGGCCCAGAGACAGGGCGTGACTTGCCAAGGCTGAGCCAGAGCTGGAACTTGGCCCTCCAGACCCCTCTGGTTGGGACTGAAGGTGGTGAAGGGGCTTCTTGGTCTTGACTCTTGCCCCCTGACTGTGGCTTTGAGAAGGGCAAACACACATTGGCTCTTCGCTGAGTTTCTCCGTGAGGCCACTTTCCAGGCAGGACGTGGTGACTATTTAGGGTCAATGAGGTGTTCTTGAGAACTTAGCAGGGTCAGTCCAGTAAGCAAGGGCTGTAGCCCTGCTGAGGGGTGGTTGGCTGGACTCTGGCTGCCCTCACCAGGTTGGAGCTTAGATCCCAACAGAGCGGGGGGCTCCCCACCAGGCTTGCTGAACCCGTCCTGGCCTCAGCTTGCCCTGGCATGGATGGGGAAGAAAGATCTCATTGTGTGTTTTCTTGGTGGCCTGAAGCTGCAGTTCTTCCTTGAGACCCAACTCCAGAGAATCTCATCCAAGGCGTGACTCAAAGTCCCTGTGCCTCAGAAAGGAAGCCAGGGTGATGAGTCAGCATCTAAGACTCTGGCGGGCAGGAGGCCTGACTCAGGCTGGGAGGGGGCAGGGAGGGGCAGGACACCCTCCCTCCTAGTCAGCTGCTGCATCCCCCACCCCCTGTCATCCTGGCCAGAGCTCTGCCAGAGTTGTGTTGGCTCCATTGGATAGATGGGAAAAACGAGGCCGAGGGAGTTGAAGAGACTTCCTCGTGGCCGTGTGGCTAAAGATGGGAGAGCCAGGCTCTGAAACCCGAGAGTCAGACACCCAAGCCTTTGTTCCTTTTCCTGATAGCAGTTTGGGGTGACTGGACGAAGCTAGAATGAAAAGCCCAGAGGCGATCGGGGGCGCTGTGCCTCAGTTTCCTCTCCAGTAAAGTGGGAATAGCAGACACTGGCTCACGGGGACATGCAAATATTAACTGAGTTAATTCCTGCAAAGAGCGGAGAACAGTGCCTGGCACGTGGGAACACCGCCTAGGTGTTTGCTGTCAATGATTCCCATGAATTGCATTTCTCAAGGCATTCCCTTGGCAGTCGGTGTCACGGACTTCTGTCCTAAGTGTGCGCATGCCGGTGAAAGCTCCTGCCAGGGCTGGGCTCCAGTTTTGCTTCTTGAAGTTCTTCTAAAAGGCTAAGCCTGGGATCCCTGGGTGGCGCAGTGGTTTGGCGCCTGCCTTTGGCCCAGGGCGCGATCCTGGAGACCCGGGATCGAATCCCACGTCGGGCTCCCGGTGCATGGAGCCTGCTTCTCCCTCTGCCTGTGTCTCTGCCTCTCTCTCTCTCACTGTGTGCCTATCATAAATAAATAAAAATTAAAAAAAATATTAAAAAAAAAAAAAATAAAAGGCTAAGCCTATGCAGACTGCCTAAAAATGTAATGAGAACCTTGTCTGAAATGCAGGTTTCCAGCCTCAGGAGGTCTGGGGTGGGGGAGCCTGGGAATCTGTACCATTTCGGAGCTTTCTGAGGTGGATCAGGGCAGATAGAGTTGAGGTCATCCTCTCTAGATTGATGGGGGAGAGGGAAAGGACAGGAGAGGCCAGAGTGGCCCATACTCCCATGTTACCAGAACCTGGTGCTCTGTAAGCGGCTCTTCCGTGGCTAAGATGCCTTGTGGTTTCAGAGCATCACTTCCTGCAGTGGAGATAGGAGACCTTCTTGCCATTTCCCAGCTCAGAAAACTGAGGCATGGGCAGGTGACTTGCTTGTCTAGAATCAAGTGAATGGGGTCCTGTTCCAGGTGAGCCACCCTGGACCTTTCCCTCTAGTGTCAACCTTTGATGCCTCCCAGACCCTTTTGGACCTGTCTTTGAAGCAAGAACTTGGTTTCCTGGATGCGTTTCATGCCGCCCTTCTACCTCCCTGGCCCCAGTCTGGTCTCAGGCCTGCCATTCTATTTTCTCTTTCCATCTGGAGACGAGATGGATGGAAGGCAGAGTCTGCTGCGGAGCCGGAGGTGAGTTTCCTAACACCCTCTTGGCCTCCTGCCCGGCCAGCCCAGGCTTGTTGGAGGTGGTGTCCTGAGGGATGAGATGTGCTCCCCTCAGGGAGATTCGGGGCAGGCTCTATATCTAGGCTGCCCCAGTCCAATGGTGTTCCTCCAGCTGAGGTGGTGGGAGGTGAAGCTCGTTCGCATCTGGGGTTCATCTTTTACTTTACAGTTTTTCTCTCTTAAATCTGTGGTGACCTCAGTCCAAGTGTGAATTTTACACCTCCGTGCAGCTCTGCCTGAAGGGGCGGATGGGGACCAGGGCTTCATCCTGTTCTCTGTCTCAAGCCCAGCTTCACTCTCTTGGCTTTGAGAAGATTCTGGGCCACTCTCTGGGCACCACCCAGATGTGGGTACGAGCTTCAGACATATGCGGTTCTGAGGACCCCCAGCTGGGAACCCTGGTCTCCTCTCCGCTCTCCTTTCCAAGCACTGAACTGGCCTCCTTTCTGCACAAAGCCCTCCCTGGCTCTCCTTTCCAGGCTGGCCTGCCAGGGTGAGTGCCCTCCTTAGATCATTCTGGGTTGAATCTCTGTTTACCCTTTTCCTGTAGACCAGAGGGCCTGGCACTTAGTAGGTGCTCAGTTAATGTTGCTCAGAAGACACCCTCCATTTATTAAGTTACTTCCTTAAGAGGAAAACGATCGGAAGGCCATCCAGAGGGTGGAAGCAGCAAGGCGAGGATCCTGTCAGTGTGGCAGTCATCCCACCTCTGGGACAAAGGGTTTTGTAGGAAGAATCTATTTCCATGTCCTGTGCTAACACTGGCTCCATTTGTATGCTTTCAACAAATTATCTCACAGACCATCCAGTGCAGCTCATGCTTGCCCTGCAGATTTGCAGAAACATCCTTGAATCCCACCAGTGCCCTCCTTCGGACTCCCCATTATTCTGCTTGTCCCCTCAGATGGTCTTCTGTCTGC